AACCTTTAAAGGAAGGATTTGAATTTGAAGCAAGCTTTGAACCGTTTGAAGCAATTCCCTCCTGTTAACTTTTTCCTTTCCAAAAAGATGGTTACTTTCTTTTTTTAACGTGGAAAAACATGTGAGCATGGGCTGTTCAATGATCAAAGCAGGAAGACCCAGTTGCAGAAATTTGCAGGAGGTGGGGGCAGGAAGAGGGTGGTTTGGTTGTTCATGGGAAGGACATGCTATGGTTGTAAAGTTAGCAGAAAATAATGTTGGCAAATGTTGGGAAGAACATGAACAGTAACGGGGGTTGGTGCTTACAGTGTATGGTTTGGTTGTTTATATTATATGCTTATATTATAAAATAAAAAACTTTTCTATTTTATACTGTAAAATAAAAATTATAAAATCAAAGTTATTGAATGAGAAATGTTTTTAATATAAGAGACTCGTCCATTATCTAATGATTTATATTATACAATTCAATATAATTTTATATATGAACATGATAATCATTTAAAATATTCTTGAATTTGTATAAAACAATATTATCATTTAAAATCAAGATTAATTATTATCCCAAAAATTGGAAATAGAAGACATAAATTTGTCAAAAAGTTAGTAATTAATTTACGAAAAATAAAATGGTTTTTTTTTTTTCTCGATCAAGGGCAATTTTTGGAGAGGGGGGATTGAACCCAGCCCATGGACAAGGTAATACATACCGTTACCAATTGGCTTACAAGGTCAGGTGTGTGAAAAATGAAATGTCCTTGATCGTTAGTTAGACGTGTATCCCATGTGTGGAATTCATGTCTTCATTGGGTAACATTACAGTAATTTAAGGCAGTTTTCTAAACTGAATTCAGGTCAAATGGGTGTTTTAAGTCCTTTAAATGAAGGCAGAAAACCTCTGATCCCAGATGGGAAAGATGATCAAATCTTTGTTTGCCCATCCATTTCCAGATCGAGGAGTCCTCTCGCCCATTTGTTTACCAAACAAAGAGGAGCATCATAGGCTTTATTGTCCATACTTATACAGCTATGAAAGAAAAATGAACAGATTCAGGGTTTGTAAACTTTGTATCTAGGTATCCTTTTGTTGCCCCAGCCTGTTGTTGAAGAACGCTGGACATCGTTACATATAGACTGAATCAAATCATCTAAACTACTTTTCAGTGATCCTCTACCATTTCCATTAATGGTAAAACAAGAACCTAGAACATTGGAATTTCCAAAGATCGAAAATTGAGCTACAAATGGGTTGTCCTGGTTCAGTACTTGTCCAATGAATTCTTGGATCCATTGTGCACCTCATTCTGCAAAATGGTGTGAATTTACTCCCTTTGGGATATTGAATTTCTTATCCAGAGGCAATAATGTAAGAATTCCTGGATGGATTTCAGGTCTAAGCATACTTACATGTGGGATGAATTTGAATCCAATCTTTATCTGCCCTTTGTAAGTATCATCTTCGAGCACCACATTATATGGAGCTGGTTTCACTTCAATGAATCCTCTGTAATTCCCTTCACTTATAATTCCACCAAGGTGAATTCTGCATAAACAAAATAATCATCTCAGGGAAGAGTGAGACAATGGAAGTATTTCAGCAGATGAAAAGTGTATATATAAGGATGCTATCAATCATCTAAAAGCTCAATTTTGTCCTCATTCTATCTTCTTGTGCTTCATGGTAATGATAACAATCTCTGCCCATTGTATTAATATCATAAAGAAAGCTTACATGGTTTCACCAACAAATCCACCATTTGAGAA